TTCCATAATGTTGAATTCCAATATTGCATGATCACTACCTCCCAAGTTTCCTGTGGCTTCAACACCTTCTATCATTTCATCTCTGTTAGTGAGAATTAGATCCAAAATGGCTAATCCCCTAGTTCCCTTCTCTACTTTTTGGGAGAAAAAGTTGTCTGCTAGGTTTGTCAGGAATCTGTTTGATCTTCCACTTGGTGCAGAGTTTGTCTTCCAGTTGATGTCAGGGTAATTAAAGTCCCCCATTACTATGACGATGTGCTTCCTACATACCTTAGTTAGCTGACTAGCAAAAAGTTCATCTATTTCCTCTCTTTGGTTGGGTGGCCTATAGTATACACCTATGGCGATGTCATTTTTTCTCCCTTTTATATTGACCCATATGCATTCAGGACAGTTTTCGTCTTTGTTGTGCTCTATTTCTGTGGAGATGTAGTTATTTCTTATATAGAGAGCAACTCCACCTCCTCTTTTATTTGGTCTGTTTCTTTTAAATAATTTAAATCCCTCTAGCTGTGTGTTCCATTTGTGGGTTTCATCCCACCATGTTTTTGTAATGGCAACAATATCATATCTGCCCTCATTGACCTGAATTTCTAGTTCACCCTGTTTGCTGTTCATACTCTGTGCATTGGTGTATAGACATTTGAGTCCTTTATGACTGACCCTGTGTTTACTTTCTACATAACCTGAGTGGTGCCTGAGTTCCCCTATTGTCTTACCACCTATTTGGTTAGTGCACTTTGTGTGGCACTCATAACAGGCTAATGTCTAGGTGTCTTATCAGATTGTGAGGCTGGAAACAGCTCAACTCAGTCATTTATAATTTTTTGTAAGTTTTTTTTAACAGCTGATTTGTCTCCTGTTTGACCACGGGTCATTCAAGCAACGGAAGCCAAGCATCTCACCTAGTCTATGCAAGTGAAACCCCCAGGGGAGAGGGTTTGCATAGCCCATGTGTGGAAGAACCTGTTTTCCTGCTGGTGGACACAACTGAGAGTTATAGCAACAGAATAGAAAATCCCTGATAACGTCAATATGGAACCTGAGTTGCAATACCAATAGATGGGTGGTGAGTGCTAATAGAACTCTGGCTCCCTGGAACTAATGACTCATGATTGTCTTTTGATTCAGTAGATTTTAATAGGAACTTGTGTGGAGAAACTACAGCCACTTTGCGAAGAGTTCTCCACACTACTGAAATCTATACAACAATGGACTTGGTTACACTTTTCCTGCTGATCATTACTGATGCTGAACAGACTGATCACCATTTCAGCTACAAGACTGCCATTGCTGCATTACCATATAACTGATTGACTTTGGCCTAGGACTGATGCTATATTAGCTTAATGGAACAGTGGGATGGTGAACATTTGGGTATTGATTTGTATGTATGTAATTGTATGCATTCATTTACTATGTGTATTTCTTGTTGATGTTCCATGTATTTGAAATCTATTTACAGGCTAATTACACCTTAGAAAACCCCCATCAAACGAACCTCCAGGAAATACTTGTGGATGACTGGGCGGAAGAGATTGTGAGGGTAGTAACTTGTGGGGATAATTGGCCTTGTATTTACATTTTCTTTCTACAAAAAGTTTTCTTGCTCCATAGCACAGAGGGACTGCATAGCATGGAACATGCTAAACAAGATCGCAAATATTACACCTAGGTCACCTATTGATTTTGAAGGCTATTTTTTTTAATGTCCTCTACCCTTGTTGTACATTTAGAGCTAGCAGATTTCTGAGTGTGTATACCAGCTATAGAGGGCATCCATTTTTGTTGCGAGTTCCTTAACTCTTCATGGCCTTGGTTATTTTTCTTGATACATCTTATTTAGTCACTAGCATGACTCAGGAAGATGTATACTTCTTGCGTATATTACATATTCCCTCCTAGGTTTGATATATGTAGTCAAATTTGGAGGATGGCTCAATGCACTAATTACAGTGGGATGTTTCAACAACAATTCAGCAATATGAATAAACTGAATCCACATTGTCAAAAGGTTGGACAACTGTATGGTACTGTTGCTCCTCCAGGTTATTTTTGGGTATGTGGAAAAGGATTTGAAATCCTACCAGGAAGTTGGAAAGGATCATGTACTCTTGCTCATTATGTGACTCCTATTTCTATGCATAAAACTGTACATTCTAAATATCTTTCTCCCTCTTTAAGGTATAAGCGATCTTGATCTGATGTGGGTGATTTCATAGCCCATATGGTTCTGCCAGGCTATCAATATGCACAGCAAATTAATACTGATCATTTTGTTCATAATCTGTCTATGCTTTTATAAGCAGGTCTGAATACTACTGGAAAAGCTATTATTGATCTTCAAGAAGAAATTGATTCTTTAGCATGAATTGTTACGGATAATGGAATTGTACTTGATAGCATGTTGGCCAAACAAGGTGGAGTCTGCATTGTGCTGAATCATTCCTGCTGCATGTATGTTAATAATTCTGGAATAATTGAAAAATATGTCCATAAAATTTACCATACTGCCAGTCTTACAGCTGATGCCAGACACTCTTGGGAGAAGATGGACTTTGGAAGTGTGAGACCTCCATGGGGAGCAGGGGACGCCCTGAAGTCTAATTCCCAGCCCACTCTAACACAGCCTGGCCAACTGTTGTTGAGTGTTTGTAAGTATTGAATGTGTGTATTGCCTAGTTGGGCACAATCTTTGACAGCAACTTGGATAGCCTAGTTGGGCAGTTGCTTATTGATTCTTTGTTTAGCCTAGTTGGGCAAAGTAATGTTGTTTAACCTAGTTGGGGAACTATGCTATTGTAACAAACTGTATAAGATAACAAGTAACATGTATTAGTCAACTATGATTGAGCACCTGCCTTGCTTTCTTTCTGAATAACACAAGAATAAAAGAACTATTATTAAACCTTATCTTGAGTGAGTTTGACTCATTCATTTTATAACAATTTTAACAGTGGAAAAGGTGGAGTTTCCATTTCCCACCTTTTCAGCAAAGATGTTTTTTAGTTGCTAGGAACAAAGAGAGGGAAGTGAAGCAAAAGAAAGTTGTCAGCTATCTCAATCCATGCAACAGCCTCAAGCAGTTATTAGCTCCTTAGATTCTCTGCTGCTATAGAATCTAGCTACAAACATGGTTGTATGGCTTCTGTACAGTTGTTGTACATATTGTAAAGGTTCAGGAAGGATGCAACAAAAAACAAAGAGGCAATACTCTCTAGAAGTAGTACTGCAAATTCAAGCATCTATGTACAAAATCATTAAGCCAATCATGCTTTATGGCAGGGGTGTCAAACTGCCGGCCCGCGGGCCAGATGCATCATGCCGAAACCGCGCCCACCCCATTGCCAGCAATGGAAAAAGAGTCACGATACGTCGCGACACGTCACGTGACGTTTCGAGTTTGACACCCCTGCTTTATGGCATTAGATTTAAAACTGCAGTTGTCTGTAAAAAGAATAAAACAGACCAGGAATGAAATGGAGGGAAAATATATTGTGGGGCTGGGGATGAGGGTGAAAACAGTAAAACTATTAATCTAAAAGGAGCATACATTCTTCCTCCTGGCCCATTATCCCTAAGTTTCTTGAGTTTGGTTCTAACACTCCAGCAGAGTTTAGATTCACTGACCAAATCATTCAGACCAAATAAATCATTTAAACATACTAAGAAGCTCAAATATTTTGGCCACCAAATGAGAAAAAAGGACTCATTGGAAAAGACCCTGATGTTGGGAAAGATTGAAGGCAAAAAGAGAAGGGGATGGCAAAGGATGAGATGGTTAGATAGTGTCAATGACTCAGTGGGCATGGGTTTGGGCAGACTCAGGAAGACAGTGGAGGATGGGGGGCCTGGTGTGCTGTGGTCCACGGGGTCACAAAGTGTCAGGTATGACTTAGTGACTGAACAACAACAAAAAATACTAAGTTGAAGAATTAATGATACCATAGCTGACAGGTCAGAGCACAGTCCTGGATTCAATAAGATATTAAACAGAGCTGTTTTAAAATTCAACAACTCAGATTTACAGCCAATTTTCAGGGATGTTTAAAGATGTGTGCTAACTCATAAAGCAATGCATTTCTTGGAGTATTGGCTCATCAAGATTGGATAAACAGAGATTTGTGTCCAAACACAAGTAAGGAAGCTAACTGTTTTCCCAGCTTCCTGACATCTATGTATCAGGAAGAATGCACGTCTGTTCTTAATACTGCTTTGTACAAGATTTTAGAGATGCAACTGGTAAAGCAGATAGTTACAGGAAAGGAAGCAATAGTGACAACAGTAGTAACATCTGCTGAAACCTCTCTGCCCCATCCCAGTGTGTTAGAACAACTGAGCAAGGCAAAAACCTCAGAGAGGAAGAGGTTGATCTACAATCTTGTGCCACTTCACCCAACAATAAAGAAGCCACTGGAGTAGACACTTAGAGAAAATGGTAGGCATAAATTGTTCTCCGTTCTGCCATACCCTTCCAAATCAACAAAAGGGCACAGGCAGGTTTACATACACAGATGCCTCCCAACCCTGCCTACTCAGTCTCTAGCATTGCTAAGCAAATATGATATCACCATACATATAGTCATGATTGAACAACCACTAACATCACAATAAATAGAAAAATTGAAATGGGAAGGAAGGACACCAATTCCTCCCTGATTGATGGGAGGTGTTCTCCACCTTTAAGGCCCCACCTCAAACCACCATCCCTTTCCCCCAGAAGCAGTGGGAGCCCACCGTCCCCAAAGCAGTCCTAGTCTTTCATTACACATTTGGTGGGCACAGGGCTATGCCATGTGTCTGTGGAAGGCTTGAGAGGAGGGCAGTGGACACATGCAGCCATCTCTCTTCACAGAATTAAAAGAATTAAAAGGTAATCCTTTTAAAAGATGTCTGCAAGGGACCACTTGAGAGAATACCAGTGAGCTCCTGTCCCCTGACCTGGGTCAGAAAGTAACCAGAACAGATCCTCCCCTTCCTCTTTTTCTCATCATAGTGTTTCAATTGATGTCATCATAGAGGCTGGGGGTAGGAGGGGCAAGTGGTTTAGGCTTCAGTTTCTTCTTATTGGAGCTCATTCCTGGAGCACCTCCAACCAGGCTCATGTGTGGTTTCTTCTTTTTGGTTTTTCGAGACTCGTTGTTTGTACCTGTGGTGGAGAGAAAAAGAATGCATGTGAACTATTGTGCCTGCCTGTTTTCAGTCCTGTTTTTCAAATGCTTCCTTGTCCTCCAATGACTATATGTCAGTTTTGCATGAACAGCAACTTATAATGCTTTGAAAAATGTCTCACTGCCCATTCCCAGGCTGAAAGAATGAATCACTTCCACTGAAAAGCACTGCCATGAAAGGATGAATTCTACATCTGCTGTTAAAACTGTGGTGGCCCATTTGTACATGCAAGTCATCAAGTGATGAGCATGCCTGGCGAATCATCCCAGTATTATAACTACAAATAATAATCAATACAGTCATAATACAGCACCTAGACATAAATATTACAGTGCAGCACAGCCACAGAAAATACAAATACTATGAGTCAGTACTTATAATACTTTTATCAAATAAGACTTTTCATTAAGGTGGTATCTACAGTGATAAAATGGATCTTGAGACTCTTTTGTAGTTCCTTTTGTCAATTTGATTTGCCACACTTCTACTTCCTCTAAGAGTAAGTTGCATACTCTTTTACATCACCTCTAGCTTATAACTTAGAAGCATTTGCCCACTGGGCTTCCGTCAACTTCTTAAGAAATGGAGCATTGATCAAAAATGTGTGGCTTCCAGATGTTGCAGAACAAGAACCCTCACAGGCTTCAGACAGCACAGCAACTGACAGAGGATGGTAGGTTAGCATTTTAGCAAAATCTTCAATGGCCAATAGCCATCTCACGTAGGGGCCTATTATTACTCCCAGGATTTTCTTTTCTTACTGTGCCTCTATGTCACGGGTGTCAAACTCGATTGTGTTACGTGATGTATTGTGACTTTTTTGCCTTTGCCATGCCGGGGTGGGCATGGTCTGCGCGTAATGCATCCAGCCTGCGGGCCGCCAGTTTGACACCCCTGCTCTATGTAGTATACTACACCCTATATCTGAAAGTACAGGGGAGCTGCTTTCACTGAGATAATCAGCAAAGAAGTCCCTATGTCCGTGGTGGTGAATTTATGGCATGCGTGCCGCAGGCGGCACACGGAGCCGTCTCTGCTGGCACGCAAGCCATTACTGGGCCGAGCTGCTCCCTCCTCCTCTCTGCGCATGCACAGCTTTCTGCAGAGCTGCGCATGCGCACTTTCCGCAGAGCTGCACATGCGCAGCTCTCCGCACATGCACAGTCTGGGAATAGGCGAGAGGCTATAAAGGGAGCAACTTTCGGTGGAAGCAGCATTTGCTGCAGACAGTGAGAGAGTGAGCACGAGTGGGAGCGGACAGTGAGCGAGTGAGCGAGCAAGCACGATGACAGCGGTAAGTTTCAGCGGCCGGCCACGCAGGGGAGGAGGAGGGGCGGCCGGCGGCGGGGTGCCTTGCCTTGCCTTGTTCGGTGACGGCAGCAAGCAGAGGGGTAATGGAGGCTGGGGGAGGGTGGGGCTGCCTCGCCTCGGCCTCGCCGGGCTATGGCGGCAGCGAAAGGCGTGGGGGGCGGCCTACCTGCGACAATGGCTTCCCTGCGTAGCCAAGCGCCAGCAGTCAGCCGTCCCTGAGCAGGAGCACCAGGTAAAGCCCCAGGCAGCACTGGGCTATGAGAGAGGCAGTGGGTGACCCTCTCCTCCACCTCGCCAGCCCCCGAGCAGCGGCAGCTGTGGCACTCTGAACATGCTCAGAAGCCCGCCGCTCCGGCTGCTTCTGCCCCCGGACAGCCCCAGCTGAGAGGAAGTGGCGGCGCCCTACAGGGCTGGAGCAGTTGGGGTTTGGGAAAGCAGCCCCGCGTGAAGCAAGGCAAGCTGCCGCCCGCAAGAGCCAAGCCGGGTGCCGTAACTCCCTGCCCGCCCCCACCTCGGGCTCCCTTCGCGGCCATCGGCCCACCGCTCCACACTGCCCATGACTGCCGGCAAAGTGCTGCCTCTCCTGCAACCTCCCCCGCGGCTGTGACACAGCCAAGTTTGCCGCCACCGGCACCGTCCCGTCCTCACCCAGCGCCAGGAAGGAGAAGACCCAATGGAGGACGGCGGCCGTTTGGAGGCGCCGCCAGAGGCAGGTGCAGTGGGGCGAACCACAACCACATGGCCAGCGTGACGAGGTCGGGCTCCTACAGATTGCCCGCCAAGCGCAGCTGCAGCTTATCACGGAGGGAGGAGGCCCTCCTCCTCCTCCGCAAGGCCCCACCCTGCCCGCCCGTAAGCGAGGCGCGGCTGCACTGCTGCGGGGGGAGGGGGCGCCTCCCCAACGGCGGCTCTGGGCTGGCTGGCCTTAGGCCAGTGATGGCGAACTTTTAGAGACGTGCTGGGGCGTTGGCGCGTGCCCACAGAGACGGCTCAGCGTGCCGCCTCTGGCACGCGTGCCATAGGTTCGCCACCACTGCCCTATATCATTTCAGACAAGTGGTTTTCCAGTCTCTTCTTAAAAACCTCGAGTGATGAAGCACCCACAATGTCTGAAGGCAAGCTGTTCCACTGGTTAATTTTCCTCACTGTTAGGAAGTTTCTCCTTAATTCCAGGTTGCTTCTCTCCTTGATTACTTTCCATCCATTGTAGGCATGTCAAACTGCCGGCCCACAGGCCGGATGCATCAAGCCAAAACCGCGCCCACCCCATTGCCGGCAATGGGAAAAATGTCACGATACGTCGCACGACGTTACGTGACATCGCGAGTTTGACATGCCTGATCCATTGTGTCTTGTCTTGCCTTCTGGTGCTTTGGAAAATAAATTGACCCCCTCCTCGTGGCAGCCTCACAAATACTGGAATACTGATATCATGTCCCCCCTAGTCCGTCGTCATCATCATCATCATCATCATCATCATCATCATCATCATCATCATCATAAAAAGGAAGGGACCTTGGAGGTCATCAAGTCCAACCCCCTGCTCAGGCAGGTAACCCTATACCGTTTCGGACAAATGGCTGTCCAGTTTCTTCTTAAAAACTTCCAGTGTTGGAGCATTCACAGCTTCTGGAGGCAGGTTGTTCTACTGGTTAATTGTTCTAACTGTCAGGAAGTTTCTCCTTAGTTCTAGGTTGCTTCTCTCTTTGGTTAGTTTCCATCCATTGCTTCTTGTCCTGCCTTCAGGCGCTTTGGAAAATAGCTTGACTCCCTCTTCTTTGTGGCAGCCCCTGAGATATTGGAACACTGCTATCATGTCCCCCCTCATCCTTCTCTTCATTAAACTAGACATACCCAATTCCAGCAACCGTTCCTTATATGTTTTAGCCTCCAGTCCCCTAATCATCTTTGTTGCTCTTC